ATTCATGGATGTGCTTTGCCAGCCTTCTGCCTGTCTGTCCTACATAGTGGGTGTTGCAGTCCTTACACTGTATGTTGGAGATGACTCCTGCTTTTTCTTCTTGGGCTACTGGGTCTTTTGGTTTGCTGAAGATGTTCTGGAGGGCTTTAGTTGGTTTGTGTTGGTATATATACAAATGTAGGTAATGTGTAGGTGTGTACACACACAAACATATACGTATGCACTTATGTCATGTGTATATTTAGATATATAAATATATATGTATGCACGTGTGTGTACATATATGTATATACGAGTGTGTGGTATGAGTGCGTGTGTGCGTAGGCGGATGCGTGCGTGCACAAGGAAAATGAACCTTTAAAAGAAAATCTAGACGGAGAATATTTAAAAGCTAAGCATCAAAGAGTTAAGATGATAGAGGCCGGTTCCTAGAGCAGTTTGGAACTGCGAGGGGACCGAGCGGAAGGGTCTCTTCTGGGTCCGGCGCCTGGCTCCGGGGACGCCAACCTTTGCCTGCTTGCCCGCGTAGCTGGGCGGGGGGCGGATCTGGGGGGGGGGCGTTCGTGGGAGCCGTTCTCCTATTCACCGAACGAAGAGGCTGCGCGGTCTCCCGGTTGGCCCAAGCGGTGAGAAATGCCGGGGTGGGGCTGTGGGTCTCAGCCTTTGTCTGAGGCGGAACTAGAAAATGGCTGGGTTCGCACGACGCGCTCGCCCTGGATTGACTTAACCACGGTTTAGCCAGGTCACCCAAAGTTCTGGATCTGCGCGGCCCCCACTGACCCGTCAGGAAATTCTCACAGACCGGGCTAGCACAGTGCGCTAAGAGGCAGAAAAGTGGATGGATAGTTTTCGTTTCCCGAATTGCTTCTAGCCCTGGGATTTCCTGGTGGTGTCACCTCCAAGTGCTACCCAGGTCCAGTTACCTAGCCTGTTCAAGATAAGCCAGAGTCTGGAAGGTCCTCACCTTTTCCACTGTATTACATACAATTTCCCGTTCTACATATTTTGCATATTGATTATCTGCCATCAAGTTGTTGTGGATTCTTAGTGACCACATAGATGGGTTTCCTCCAGGAGGATCTGTCCCCAACCTGGTCCTTCAGGTCTTCCAGCGGTGCCCCCATTGACACTGTAGCTGAGTCCACACCGCTTGCTGCTGGTCCTCCTCTCCTCTCTCCTTCCACCTTTCCCAGCATCAGAGCCTTCTCCAGAGAGTGAGATCTTTGCATAATGTGTCCAAAGTAGGATAATTTGAGCCTGGTCATTTGTGCCTTGAGTGAGAACTCTGGTTTGATATTTTGCCTATTGTGTGAGTGCCATCAACTCAAGTATTGACTCCTGGCGACTGTCTGGACAAGTCCGTGCAGTTTTCTTGACAAGATTTTTGGAAGTGGTTTGCCACTGCCGCCTTCCTAGGGTTGAGAGAGTGGCTGGTCCAAGTTCATCCAGCTGGCTTTGTGATTAAGGTGGGATTAGAACTCACGATCTCCCAGTTTCTAGCTGATGCCCTACCCACTACACCAAACTGGCTCTATGTTCTTAAAAAAGAACATTGTTTACCCCCAAAACAACAATACTGTAAGTTTTTTTTCTGCAATTTTCTTCCAAATTTCCAGTGTTTCCACTGCAAAACAAAAATAAAAAGAGAATTGGGGGGGGAGCAATAATTCCTCTGCCCTCGTGCCCCCCCCCGTTACCAGCTGTACTCCACTATCATTTTTCCAATTCTTCTTGCTTTGCTTTTCTCTTTCATGCTACAGAGAATCACTTTCTGCATTTCATCTCAATTGGAGCAAGTGAGAATGATCTGAGACCAGACTGAAGAATCCTGAGAAGAAAAGTGCATCCTGGACAAAACTTGTGATGTTTTCTGGAAATGCAAAGGGAAACATTTCTTTGCGGTCTGAGAGCAGAGAAACTCTTCAAATTAATCAAAGCAATCATTTGTCAATGACTTGTATTGAATACACCCAGAATGGTATGCTTGTTCATCAAACTGCACTCTGCTCAGGTAAGAAAGAAAAACAGCAGAATGTTATAGAAGGACAAAATTAGCAAGGGGGCCGTGCAATCCTTGAATCCAATCCCCTGTTCAGGCCAAGGATCCAAATTAAAGTATCTGCCATGGAGAACTGCTCGGTCTCTGTTTAAATATATCCAGCATAGGGAGCCAGACGGGTTGTACTACCAAACTAGTCCTACCATTAGGAAGTGTTTCCTAATAGCTGAAAAGCAGTTAACAAGCAATTTCCAAAAGTGATTAGAAAAGGAAGTATGCTGAAAAGCAGTTAACAAGCAATTTCCAAAAGTGATTAGAAAAGGAAGTATGCTGAAAAGCAGTTAACAAGCAATTTCCAAAAGTGATTAGAAAAGGAAGTATGCTGAAAAGCAGTTAACAAGCAATTTCCAAAAGTGATTAGAAAAGGAAGTATGCGAACCCTGTGTCCATAAAGCTGTGATTTGGGCTAAGATGGTGTTCCCTCATTGTCCAGAGTTCTAAACCCTCCAGAGACCACTGTCTTGCAGTCTCCTCTCAAGGAGCAACTGTCTGGAGCACTTGTGGGCAATCCCAAGTCCCCTCCTTGTCCAGAGAGGAATTACAAAGACCCTTAACAGCAGGAGAGACCAAAATTTGCTCCAACGTCCATATGACCCTTCTGTACTTATTTGCAGGTGATGAAGCCTCTTCATTGCTTCTTCTCCAGACTTGACTCTTTCAATCTCCTAGCTTGTAGAAGAGAAGATTGAGAGTGGACCTGATAGCTGTTTTCAAATGTTTGAAGGGCTGTCACATTGTAGAGGGTTTGGACTTATTCTCACTTGCTCCCGAGGGTAAGATTAGAACTAATGGGATGAAGGATGTCGATACAGATTAGACTTGAGGAAGGACTTCTTGACAGTAAGAGCTGTCCATCAGTGGAATAGATCACCACATGGAATGTTTCTTCCCCTTCACTGGAGGTTTCTTTTTTCTTCTTTTAAAATATTTTTATTAGAATTTTACAATATAATAAAAGTATAAAGAATGAAAAGAAAAATAAGAAAAAAGAAAGGTGAAAAAAGAAAACATAAAATTTTGACTTCCGCCCTTCTATCAAGTAATTGCCATCTTACTCTTTCCCTTCCCTCTTTAATCCTTTCTAATCCACAAATCCATAAATCATCAATTCAGTCTTCGGAGTCCGTGGGGTTCTCTGAGCTTGGTTCTTTTCTTGCAAACGTTTCATTACCCGGCTAGGTAACCTCTTCAGTGCTAGAATGGGATGGGCTTTGCTCTCTGTTTATATACTGTGGCACACCCTGCCAGTGTTGGTGGGGGTGTGGGCTTTGTTCTGTTCAGTCTTTTCTTCTTTCAGCAAAAAGTCCATAGAAGGCTTCCAGTCTTTTAAAAAAAGTCTTAGTTACTTTTTCCCTGTCCAAACCAGTCAGCTTTGCCATTTGCGCAAACTCCGTCAATTTTATAATCCAATCCTCTACTGTGGGTATTTCATAATTCTTCCATCTTTGTGCATACAATAATCTTGCTGCAGTTACCATATACAAAATTAGCTTCCCTTCTAGTTCAGCGTCTATAAAGCCCAATAAAAATAATTCTGATTTCATCATAATGTTAATCCGCAGTATTTATTTATTTTTATTTATTTATTGGATTTCTCCACCGCCCGTCTCCCCCACAATAGGGGACTCTGGGTGGCTTACAAAGA